GATTTCCTGAAAGCGCGCACATAACAATGACACTAGCCAAACCGGTAAAGAAACAAAAATAATTCTCAGCAGCTGCAACTGTTACAAAAAAAGTCTGAAACTGAAAAGTGCACAGAATTATTCAATCACAGTGTTCAGAAAGTGCATTTTCCTTTGTTCTGCACTTTAGATGAATGACTGTTTAGGTGCGACTGGTACTCGATACTTTTGAAAATGAGTATTGTATCCGAATACAACATTTCAGTATCAATACTTTTTTGAGAATCGATACTTTTGACAACCCTAATTACCAGTGGTATTCGCTTTGGTGTCATGAGGTCTCAGACGGGAAAATTATAGATAAGCTTCTCCTTTCCCACATCTGGACGGTTAAAACTTAGGACACATTTGGCTGACAAAGATCCTACACAAACGTACAACTAGTTTTTGAAAAGGTAAGGCAAGGCAATTTATATGTATAGCACAATTCAGTACAAAGACAATGCAAAGTGCTTTACATGATTAAAATATAGTAAAATAAAACAGAATCAAAGCAAGTAGGAAAGGATAAATAAATAAATAATTTAAAAAAATAAAGTTAAGGTAAGGCTGGCTATAGATAAGCCTGATGAAGTTTGCCCATATATCATTGTGTAATATGAAGTTGTTGACAACTAGAAGCTCTAAAAAACTGTAAATGCCAAAGAAGATGAACCAGAAAAGCGCTGGAGGAAAGTTTAACTGCCAGAGCTTCTTGGAAACGACGACTAAAAGCTTTTCCATAGAGGTCAGTTTAAGGCTTTTAACAAGAAAAGAAGAAATGCACAAGGTGATGGGAACAAAATTTTGGTGGTGTGTATCACTGACATCCATGGAGGCTTGAAGAGGGGTTTCCCTCCTATATTCAAAGCAAAAGCTAAAAATGGCAAATGTTTTTTTTCCCCCCAGTTTTTGATCATTTTTACAATTGTTCAAAGAATTCAGCAACATATTTTACTTAAGAATAGATTCACAAGATCTTATTTATTTCAGTAATTCCACCTTGTTTCCATTAAAAATGCATTGTGTAAACTATATTTTTTCTTTCCGATACTTGAAATCATGTCTGGCATTAATAACAAACGTTTACCTTTTATCCAAGTTTATCCAAGTTGACTCCATAATAAGTTAAAGGGAGCCGTATTCTATAGGCTTCCATATGTGATGTGCTCACCTGGCTCCACAGCAGAGAGAGAAAATAGGCAACATTTTTTTTTTTTTTTTTAGGTGGCCTCAAACCCCATCCCAGTCTCCACTTATTGCACTTTTGTCTAGTGCCATGAAAAGGGCTATTTGGGGTCTGATCGGAGATGGAAAAAAAGAAAAGTAAATATCTGTAGGTTATCTGAGGAAGCTCAGAAATGCACTGGGAATGAAAAGTGACCCCCGTCTGGCTCTTTTTTCTTCTTCTTGCTCAGAAGTAAGAGGATCTATTCAAAATAACTAGGATATGTATATTGTTCTTTCTTAGAAGACATTATGCCTAGAGCTAAATAAATAGGGTGGGGCGAATTAGTCGTCCTTTTAAGAAGAAAGAGACCTAAATGTTGAAAATTGTTTCAACAGAAATATGAATTATAAAAAGTCGTAATCTGTGAACGCCTTACATCCCCAGGCGTGACTGGAGGCCCGCATCTGTCGTTCAGCAACACAATCCATCTTATGCAATGCATTTTTATGTTAATGTACTAGAGAAGCTTTAGGGGACCAAGTTTTATGTTTGATAAGTTATGCACGAGCTCGCACGCTTGTCGCCCTAACGGAAGGAACGTGTTGTTTTCAATTCAATTCAGTTTATTTATATAGCGCCAAATTCACAACACATGTCATCTCAAGGCACTTTACAGTTCAACCAGATCATACAGTCAAGGTTTTAAACTCTGAGATATTGGTTTGGAATAAACTTCAGAGCTTTACGCAAACCAGTCCAGACATTAAGATCCTAATCGACTGTCAACTTGCAAGCGAATAATAAAAGTTCTTAGTGAAGAACATACATACATATATATACACACACATATACATATATATGTGTATACACATATA